TATGCAAAAATATCTTCACAAGAGCTAAGGAATCCAGGTGAAGGATTACCACACCTGGGTGAAGCACAGGGTTAAGATACATCCAGGAGGGAAGATAGAGTCACATTTCCCCTCCCCCAAGTCCTGACAGCCCGGAGAGAAAGATTTTACCAAATATGGGAGTTCACCCACACTAGGCTTCCCTTGTAAGAAAGACGTTCTTCAACTTAAAATCAAAGGACACTAATAAGTAATAGGAAAATATATGGAAATATAGAAGTTGTTAAAGGTAAGCATATAGTCAGTTTCAGAGTACTCTAATACGATAATGGTGGTGTGTTAATCATGTAAATCTAATATAACGGTTAAAGGGCAAAAGTATTAAAGATAACTTTAGCTACGATAATGTTAGTGGGTACACGATATAAAAAGAGGTAAATTATGACGTCAAAAACAAAATATTGAGGAGGTGCAAAATGGTAGATGTTTTGTATGTGATCGAAAGTAAGTTGTTATCAGCTTGAAATAGACTTTTATCTCTATATTTTTGTTTATGTAAGCGTCATGATAACCACAAAGCAAAGATCTACACAGAAGATAAAGAGATAGGGAATCAAAACATACCATTGCATAAAATGATCAATTCACAAGAAAAAAGACAGCAAGAGTAGAAGGGAATAAGGGAATTACAAAACAGCCAGAAAACAATTATTAAGGTGGACTTGGTAAATCCTTATCTATCGGTAATTACTTTAAATGTAAATGATTAAATTCTGCAATCAAAAAGCATAGAGTGGCTGACTGGATTAAAAACGAGACCCAAACATACTAGACTTATCAGTATGATCATTTTGTAAGTTATATAAACGTCTAATCACTATATTGTACACTCGAAACTTATATATTATTGTAGGTAAGCTTTAACGGAAAAATAAATAAAATCAAATAAGACTTAGCAAAATGCTGCCGAAAAGAGACTCACTTCAACTTTAAGGACACAGGTGGGCTCAAAGTGAAGGTATGGGAAGTTATTCCATGCAGATGGAACCAGAAAAGAGAAGAGATAGCTGGACTTAACATCAAAGTAAACTTTAAGCCAAAGACTGTAACAAGAGACAACTAGTACCATTATATAAAGTGGTCTATTCTTCTAGAGGAATAACAATTGTCATTATATATGCACACAACATTGGCACACCTAAATATATTAAGCAAATATTAACATACCTGTAGGGAGAAATATACAACAGTAAAGTAATAGTAGGGGACTTCCATCCCACTTTCAATAATGTATAGATCATCTAGACAGAAAATCAGTAAACGTTGGACTTGAACTATACTTTACACCAGAGGAAACTAACAGACATGTAGAGAACACTCCACCCAATGGCAGCAAAGTACACATTTCTCTCAAGTACACATTGAACAGGCTCAAGGATAGAAGATATGTTCACAGAAAAGCCTTAGCATGTGTGAGAAGATCGAAATCATACCAAGTATCCTTTCTGACCACAATGATATGAAACTAGAAATCGATAACAGGTGCAAAACTGGAAAATTCACAAATAGGTGGTAATTAAATAATACACTCCTAGATAACTAATGGGTCAAGGAAGCAATTAAAAGGGAAATAAAAAAATATTTAGAAACTGATGGAAAAAGAATGTATCGAAATTTGTGGGATGTAGCAAAGCAGTTCTAAGAAGGAATTTTATAGAGATAAACACCTACATTAAGGAAAAAGAAAGATCACAAATCAATTTACACCTCAAGAAACTAGATAAAGGAGAACGAACTTGGCCAAAAGTTTGCAGAAGGAAGGATATAACAAAGATCACAGCAGAAATAAATGAAATAGAGACCAGAAAATCAATAGAAAAGATTAATGAAACTAAGAGCTGTTTTTTTAAAATATAAACAAAACTGATAAACCTTTAGCTATATTAAGAAAAGACTCAAATATATAAAATCAAAAATGAAAGAGGAGACACCACAGAAATACAAAGGATAATAAGAGACTACTATGAATAATTGTATGTCAACAAATTGGATAATCGAGCAAAAAGGAATAAATTCCCAGAAACATACAACCTACCAATAGTGGATCATGAAGAGATAGGAAATCCAAACAGACTAATAATAACAAGTGAGGAGATTAAATCAATAACCAGAAATCTCCCAACAACGAAAACCCCAGGACCAGACGGTTTCACCAGTGAATTCTACCAAACAAAAGAATAATTAATGCCACTCCTTCTGAAACTTCAAAAATATCGAAAAGGAAGGAATGTTCCTAAACTCATTTTACGAGGCCAACATCGCCGTCCTACCAAAGTCAGATAAGGACTTACATAAACAAAACAAAACAAACAAACAAAGACTACAGGCCAGTATCCCTGATGAATACAGATGCAAAATTTCTCAACAAAATACTAGCAAGCTAAATCCAACAGCACATTAAAAAGGATTATACACCGTGGTCAAGTGGGATTTACCCCTGAGTGGTTCAACATGTACGAAGCAATAAATGTCACATCCCACATTAATAGAATTAAAAATAAAAACCATATGAACATCTCATTAGATGAAGAAAATGCCTTTTCCAAAATTCGATATCCTTCCATGAAAAAAAAAATTTAATTGTTTATGAAGGAATTTACAACAAGCCCACGGCCAATATCATTCTCAGTAGTCAGAGGTGGGGAGCTTTCTCACTAAGTTCAGGAGCGATACAAGAGTGCTCAATCTCACCACCTTCATTCAATATAATATTGAATTCCTAGCCAGAGCAGTTAGGCAAGAAAAATAAATAAAATACATCAAAATTAGAAAGGGCTATATATAAGTTATTTCTGATAATGTTTTTATTGGACTCCAGATATTGTGAATTTTACCTTCTTGGATCTTGGCCATTTTTGTATTCCTGTAAATAATATTCTCGAGCTTTTTTTTTTTCCTGAGATGCAGTTAAGTTACTAGAAAACAGTGTGACATTTTCAAGTATTTCTTTTAGTCTCCGTTAGGCAGGAAAAAGGAATCATGTTTAGGGCCATTTTTTCTTTACTGATGAGGCAAAACTTGTCTGCATATTCTACCCAGTGTCCTATGAATTATTTTATTTTCTACTGTGGCTGCTGCGAACAGGAACTCCGTGTAGTTATCTTCTCCCTGGTACCCTCCCCTGAAAACTCTCACTTTGTTGCCCTCCCCATACCTGCAACTCAATATCCTCAACTTAGGGAGACTGCTGGGCTCCCCCAGAGTTCCCCTCCCTACATTATGCCCTGCAGAATCTCCCCAGGCTGTAAGCTGGGGCGATCAGGGGGACTCATCTCATTTGTTTTTCCTGTCTCTTGTGGATCACTGTCCTTTATTGCCAGATTTCAAACGCCTTGAAAACCATTGCTATATGTTTTTGTAGCTTTTTGATTTTCTTTCAAGCCGAAGATTTTAATCTAGTCACTTTTTCTCTATCTTAGCTGGATATCGAAGTAGCTATTATGGTATTTTCAGAGGACAATTGGGCCTTTTACATAAGAATTTTAAATGTATTTGTCTTTGGACCCAGCAACTCCAGTCAGTGTTCTAGTTCTTGAAGACATAGCAGCGAACATGGTATCTTCTCGCATAGCTTATAATGGAGTGGGGGACAGAGGACGACACAGATGAGTAACTATAATACACTATGTTATAAAGCGATAAGGAATGCTAAGAAGGAACAAACCTAGACAAGAAAGGGGGGAAAGAAGCGTTGGGTAGAAGGAAGTATCTCAAAGTTTTGAATACATTCACCTGAAAGGAGTATGTCTGATCATAATCCTATTGCAATTGAGAGGGCAAGCTGTATGGATGTTTGGAGGTAGATGAAACGCTCAGTGCAAAGGCCCTAGTGCGTCCGGTGAATGACAAGGAATGTTTTTAGCAACTACTACAGCGTCTAAGCAAATGCACATAAAATGGTAGCCATTGATAATACTGTTACTATTGGTGGTGGGAGCAGAAATAGGACCTAAAACCGTATGGCCTCCAAGCTCATCTGTTTGCTGCTATGTCATATTATCTCCCTAGTGCCCCTAGACATTGAGACGTGGGCTGCCTTGTGATCGTTCTTGTATTTTCTCTGTCATTGTCCCGCTTTTCCACAGGCTTGCCTCGTGTCCCCAATCATACAATTCCTGCCACTTTGCAGCCTGTGCTGACTCTAGCATGGGACGAGGGTCCCCTTCCTCCCTCACCACATATATGTCTCCCTCCAAAGTGTGTGAACTCTGGCCAAGAGGTCACTCTCTCCAGGGACAGGAAGATCCTCAATGACACGTGAGACACTATGTAAAAAGTCTGATCACAGCTCATGTCTCGTTAATCCAGAACTTTTTACATCTTCCAAGGCACTTTGTTTAGTCCCTTTCTTTGTTTTGAATAATACACACATGGTATGAAGTTTTAAAACGTCAAAATGATACAGGAACGAAAAATAAATTTACCTCCATCCTTTCCTCAGCCACCCCTATCTCGAAGCCAACAATGTCACCAGCTTCTTTGGTGTCCTTTCAGAAGTCTTGAGTGTATCTCGGTATTTTCAGCCACCCTCCACACCCCACCCCTACCCATACAGTATACCTTGAGTACCCTTTTCACCTGAGTCTCCCCACACCCTAAGGAGGTAGGTGGTGTTCTCCCCAATCAGATTAGGAAATTGAGGCTCAGAGATGGGACTTGACTTACCGAAGGTTTCCCAGGCAATCAGTGTTAACCCCAGGACGGATGTTGCCATTTTTATTTGTATTCTGCCCTCCACACTGAGAAGTGCCAGAACCTGTGCCTCGAACATGGTAAGAGATTTCTAAACACTTGCCGGTAGCTAGAGTGACTATAAAAAATCCCCCCCATTCTTTAAGTCATCTTCCCATCCCTATTGGCAGACTACATGTGATGCCGGCTAGTCTCAAGTCCCAGTTAGCACTAGGGAGACAGGAACTTGACCTTCCTAACCGATTCCTGGAAATATTCCCTCTTCACAGATCTATTCAGGTCCTCCTGAAGAAAGTGCCGCGCCCCCGGTGCCTCCACCTCGAGTGACAGCCAGGAGACACAAACCAATCACGATTTCCAAGCGCTTGCTGCGGGAAAGGACAGTCTTCTACGCTTCTTCCGCGGGGGACGGTAAAGGTCAGTACTGAGGCTCATCCGCAAAAGAGGGCAGGCAGAAGGTGGGCTTCTCCTTGCTTCTGAGCCCGGCAGAGCAAGCTTTTGAAAATTCGTGCTCAGAGAGCGAGTTTGTCTTTTGGCTGGGCACAGGACGTGTCCAGGAAGCACGTGACCTAGTGACCCGGCACTCCTGAGTTTATGTCTGTACTATGACCTGCGACCCTTCGGTAATTTTTTCCTGTTTGGCTATTCTAGTCCGATGGCAGTTGTGTCAAAGTTAAGAAAAGCAGGGCCATATGTCTACCGTGGGACCAGAGCAGGGTAGCTATAGAGAAGCCACTCTTGGCCCTGAGCCCTATGGTGGTGGCAGCAGTGATTGGTGACAGGTTCCCAAGGAGAAGAAAACTCTCTGGGGAGAAAGGTCTTTGCAGCAAGACTCAGGCCGACCTCCGCCCACTTGGAACATAATAGTGTCAGTGATAGCTAACAACCATCGAGTGTTAATCACTCCCCGGGCACTGAAATGGCAATGCCATCTCATGGGATCCTCGCCACCACCTCAGGACATAGGTACTCTTACTTATTACTCCCATTTCCCTGGGGAAAACATCTGAGCGCTCAGGGGCTCGCTTCAGCCCCCACAGTTTGTAAGAAGCAGAACTAAGATTCAGAGCTGGCCGACCGACTCCAGAGCCTATGTTTCTTTTAACATTTTATTTTGGAGGATTTCAAACATAAGCAAAGGTTGGAAAACATATATAGAGCGTACCCGCCGTGTTCTTATCCACCAGCTCCAATGTTTACTGCCCCTCCCCCGACCCAGACAGCATGCCATTTCATCTAGAAATGATTCAGTGTGTATCTCTAGAAGATTAGCGCTCTTTTTAAACCAGAATCACAATGCCACCATCATACCTAAAAGAAAAGAAAACAGTAATTCGTTAATATCACTACCCATGTAGTAAGTGTTCCCATTCTCCTATGATTTCATTTTAAGAAGTCAGGATCCAAATAGGATCCACATATTACAATCAGTTGACACGTCTCTCAGGTGTCATCTAGCTGACTACAACCTCTGTCCTTAACCACTACACTGTGATCTAGGGCATCCATGACGAAGGAAGGGGACAGTTTATAGAAGGAGTTGACAACCAGAGAGTCCTTAAGTATTTTAGGGAACTCCATTAATCTCTTAACATTGGTTTTCAAAATTTTCCATGTATTTGTGCAGGTGAATTTTTCCAGGGAGAGTATCCCTGGCTCTCATTAGAGTCTCAAAGCTTTAAGTAAGACTCAGAACAACTGAAAATCATGTACTCTCATCACAGGGAGTCACAGACCGCAAAAGCTAGGAGACCGGAAAGTGGCTAGTTGGGGGTTTCTTTATGAGGAGAGAGAGAGAAAGAAGTTGAATTCTGTTAAGTTTATTACTTAAACCTGAGAGATCTTTACAAATTCCTTTGGATGGAAATAGAAATAGTTAAGGATTAATTGATATCTTTATTTCGAAGAGAATAGAATATGCAATTGATTGGGGATTCTTAAGTCCCTTTTGAGTTACATATCCCTTCAAATAAAGCAACTTGGTATATCGTGACCTTACTGAACTGTGGTGGTGAAAATTATACTCACATCTTGAATCGAATTCCCTAATTGATGGGACATGTGACTCTACACAAATCGGGGAAGGCAGGGACCAATTTGGGGGATATCATTGATTTGATCCGCAACAGCAGCTCTTTTGAAAATGTATACAATTTTTTGATACCGTGCATGCGTGTACAAAAGTAAAAGGTGATACAGGTTATCATTAACATTCCCTCTTTACCTAGATGACATCCAAGAGCAAACACCCAATGGTACTATTGCCAGCGGTATCGAACCCCCCAAACTGCCGCAGTACCCCAAACTGCCTATTCAGAAGAGTGGGGACAGTGATCCTTGGGGGAAGTCCCTAAGCAAGCCTGTTTCAGATGGCAAGTTGGAGCCCTTCCCTGACGTGGACATGGGGAAGTTGGTGATTAAGCTGCAGGATGGACCGACCAGGATCGTGGCGAAGGCCACCAATGGACCTGTGCCGGGCTCTGTGCCCGCCAGGGCCCCCTCTTTCTACGTAAAGAGACCAGCTCCACGGCCCTTGGCTTCCCACAAGGAGGGTAAGTGCTTGAGAATCCCTTGGAACCAGAACCCACCCCACCTACTTCAAGATCTTTCTGAAGTTGGAGATACTTAAGTAGAAATCTGTCATAGTTTTCTGCCGCTAATGTTGAGATTGCAGATAAGAACGTACAAACCGCTCACAGCATCTCTAGTTTCCTTTACGTTTCTACCCCGAGCGCTGAGAACGATGCCTGCCAGTCACCTGGTCGGCAATCATTATTTGTGGAATAAATTAATAATAGTGATATTATTTTATTATTATCCTGATATTATTTTTTATTATTATTATTATTATTATTATTATTATTGCTACCATTGCTGTTTATTAAGTACCTGCACTGTGCCTGGCATTGCACGAGGTGTGACATGCTAGTTTTGATCCTCACGACCTCACTGTGCAGAATGTATTATTTTTTTTTCTACTAGAAATCTGGGGCTCCTCGTGGTAGGCGACTTGCCAAAAGCTAGTAACTAGCAGAGCTGTGTTTTAAATCCCACCATGTCTGGTACGCCCCCAAACCTATGTCATTTTCAACAAGGCAGAACTGTCACTTTACCTTTTTATAAGCAGCTCTGACTCTGTGAACTACTGTTTCCTCGGCCTCACTTTCTAGTTTAGCAGAAATAGGGACAGAGGGGCATGACTTCTGCAAAACTCTGGACTTTTTAAATTACGAATTATAAACCAAAATGTGGCCGACTTCTGCAGATGTAACTGGCCGCTGCATGCAGAGACTTGTGTGTGAAGGCTGGGGCTAACGCACACGGAATCAAAGCGGGGCGGGTGTACTTCTGTGAAGATAGCACAGGATAATGCTTGGGAAAAATCAAAAGAAACATAATATGTCATAACACATGAAAATGCTATGAAATTCCAAGTTCCGTGCCCACGAACAGATGCATGCCCTTCCACTGACATAATAGGATCGAGCTGTGGCGACACAGACCTTATGGCCTGCAAAGCCTAAGATATTCACTATAGGACACTTTACAGGAAACGTTTGCTGACCTCTGCCTTGGATCCGAGAGCACAGGTCAGAACAAGTGAGGCCAGGAGCGGCACAAAGGTGTTAGTGTGTAAAATTTTTGCCCTGAAGCCTTACACACTTGCTGGAGCATTTCGCTCCCAAATTTGTAAAAAACAAACAAACAAACAAACAAACAAACAAAAACGGCAAGTGAAAAGAACTCGGTGTTTATATAATTCCAAGTTCTTACAGGAACAACCAGCCGGTTGTTTGGGTAAAGGGTAATAACTCTTCCGTTTTTGAGGCTAGATGCTTCTGAGAACCATCTTCTCCCATGAATTGTCGCATATCACAGCCTCAGTATGGGATGAAGACATCATGTCAGGGCACAGTCCAGGGAGAGTTATTCTGTGGGGGTCCAATGAAATTTTCACTGAGTGGCTGACCGTTCTCTGGCTTGACGCGCCAATGCATCTGTATGATTATAGTTATCTAACTTCTTTGAACACCTTGGTTTCCTCGTGTAAATGGGAGAAGCAGCTCAGTCCACAGAATTATTGCTAAGGTTAAAAATGAATAACCAATAAAATATCTGACATAGAATTCATATTCAAAATGCTGTTCATCTCCTCCTCTCCCCCTTCCCCTCTGTGAGATGTGCCTCTTCTGGAAAGTAGCCAAGCTAGGCCCGCCCTCTGTGTGGACATCTGCTTTAACTTATAAGTCGTACACTGACCTTTACATCACTGGCAGAGAGCTGGGTAACCCAGCTCCCATTCGTCACCGCTGAGTCTGCCTTGCCTGCTGCCGAGCCTTGAGGTCAGCCCAATCCTATCGGCTTGGCACACAGAGTCGCTCAGCCCTCTCTATCAGTTCAAAGGTCAGTCACCGTCTTCTGCTGCAGAGTGAAATCCCAGAGGACGAGCATTCCCCTCGTCCCCTTCCTCCACAGTCTTGCCGCAGGCTGCTGGTGGCAGCCGCTCTGATCTAATGGTTTCAGTTGATGTAAGTGCCGGTCTGACTGTCCAGTGTCATCTGGACTATGTAAGTTTGGGCCGCAGCAATGCCTGTCTTCGCTTGCTGTCTTAAATGAGTTAGCATCAGGCCAGTGGGATGCAGCTTTTTTCAAAGCTCTAGCCTTGGCTACAGAAAGCAGAGCTAAAGAAGTTAGTAGTTGTGGCCTCGGTGGAGAATTAAGCAATTAAGTTGCCTTTTTGAACCTTGCCCACTCCTACCTCCCACGCGCTCCCCCTCACCCCCATTTTGGCTGCCACTCCACGGATAGATTTGATTCCAGGCATCAGGACAGATGTCAGTTAAGCCAAAGCTGCAGACAGCTCTGACTGGGCTATAGCAGATAGTTCTCAGCCCCCGGGGAGGGAGCTGTCACCTCAGCAGACCCCCCTCTGCACCTTGTGCTTGTCATTCCATTTCAGCTCTGTCGTTCAGAGCTTCGCCTGCCAACCTGAGAGCCACTGTCCGGTCCTCATTGCTTTAACCGTCCACCTGTGCCACTGGCCTGTCCCCCATCCTCATCCCTCGTGTGGATCCAGCCTTCAGTTGGACTTGGTATTCTCCATGTTTTTTCTTAGCAATTAAAAATAGCACCTTTCTTAGCAAGGCACATCTTAAATTGCTTTGTTCCATGGCAGTCGACTCAACAGTAAAATCAATATTGTTTGCTGATGCCATTTTGTCAAGGGCCCCTGCCCATTCGGCCATGGAACTGGGTATTTCCCTTTCTTATAATCATTATGATAGGCCTTTGAGATAAGGTTTTCTTCTCCCTATTTCACAGACGGGGAAACTGAGGCTCAGAGAAGTGATAAAAATCACATGGTCACCCAGGTTGTAAGATGTAGAGATGGGGCTTGAACCTCGACTTCCTAGGTACCACATCTGATTTCTTCGGCAGCTTTAGCTAGCTACCCTCCCCTTTTTCTTTTCAAAGAAGCATTCCCGTCGGGGGGAACAAAATCCTACAAGCCCGTCAACGCGACCGCTCCTTATGAGGCCCGCCTTTGGAAAGGGCATTTGTGTAGCTTCTATGAAGTACTTTAGGGCTTTCCTTTGGGGGAAGATAGAGACTTCTCTGTGTTTATTTATTCAGACGATGGGAGAGACAAAAAGGAAAGGCCTTGGGCCCTGCCTTCCCGGTGAGGGAAGCATGTACGCAGCCAGTCCCGGTGCTCTGTGATCCGCTTCTTAGTGGGGACGAGAATGAATGCTGGTAGGACCATGGGGCAAGGAGCCAGTGACGTTGGGGTTCAGCGGCCCGTTAGCT